CTCTTGTTCACGTGCGGTGCTCCTCCTTGAGTCACAAATGGCGATGCCTCTTGAACCACAGACGGCGATGCCTCTTCTCAGTAGACTCCTACCACCGTGCATGTTACTGTGACTGGAAAACTTTGGTCCTTACATGTCATCGAGTAGTCTAGTCATTGTGTCGGTCCAGTTAACGTGCCCGTCTAGCTGCCACGCCAGATCAATCATCACGCTAGTCTTGCCATTACGCACGTCTAGCTGTGGGGTTAAACATCTTCATTCTCTTTCCTCCCTTACCCTCTCTTTTCGAAAAGTTCAGCGAGAGACAAGCTGACTTTCATTACTTCTCCCATTTTTCCTCTTCTTCTTCTCTCTGCAAAAATTTCTGTTCTTTCCCTCTAATGAGTTGGGTGAAATCCAAACCAACCTCCACTCCATTTTCTCTGAAGGACTAGTTGAAAGACATACTAGCCTTCAAACTCTTCTTTCTTCTCTCTATCTCACCTGTTTCTTTCTTTCTTTACTATAGGACCTTACTAAAAGTCCCTCACCAAGGAGACGCCATAAGGCTGTCGAATTGACATGGACTTTTTTATGTTATTTCTTTCACTTCTCCTCGAGCACATACGCACATGTGTGTTCACCTTATGACAAGAAGGGGTCCTCAGACCCACTTGTCTATACTCTAATGTGTGTGTGTGTTTTGTAGGTAAGAAGAAAACAGGTCAAGGGAGGCGAATCTGAACGGGCCACATGCCAGGGGCCTTTCAACATGATCTAAGAGGGTGCTCATGCGAGTTAGCTTGAGCATGTCATGAACCCACGTCAGGTGAGTCCCGCCTTGCGAACCTAATTCATCTCTCACCAATTTGTATTCCTGCATGTGTCTTCTTCACACGGTTCACGAGAAAGCGATCTTAGGTCCTGGGTCCATCTCGAATCCAGAACCTCGCCACCAGGTCAACCCAACCCAGAGGCTAGATCAAGGCATCTAACCACCCATCTCGTCGCTTTGGCGGACCCTCCGCCAAAGCACCTTACATGGGTGGCACAGCAGCTACCACAAATTGCATGCACCCTGCTACCGGCAAATCACTTCTCGGTCCCACTGCTCGGGGCACTCGAAAAGTTGTCCCTTCCCTTCCTACAAAATGCAGTCCATTTGCCATTGCTCTTATGGGTCACCGTAAGGCCGCCCCCCATTTTCTACCACCTCGTGCCCCTATAATAACAGGCTCGACACACCAAAGAAGGGGTCCTAAGGCCGCCACCTCCCACACACACCCGAGCTCATGGTTCATCCGCTCGAGACGCACCTCAAGGCAACCCTCAAGTTGCCTCAAACCACTGCCCAGGTTCAGGTCTTCTTGAACCTGGCCTTGTACACCCTCTGCATGTGCATTCTACTATTCGTGGCAAGCCTGTTGCTGCATCTGCCTGAGCATACGAGAGACGACCCCCTCGTCATCCCCCTCTGCACATACTTGCACACCTTGTAAGGGGTGGTCACAAGGACATTAGCTTATGCACACATGCTCGCGGTACTCGGCCTCCTAAGGTCGGACCAGCTGCTCGAGCCCGGGTTGACCCCTAGGTCTCCCAGAACCCTTCTTCAAAGGGCGCACGCTCCCCACCCCCAAAGCCTACCTCGAGCTCCCTACCGAAAGGTCAATGGCAGCTGTCTCCTTCCCCGTTCGTCCCATCTCCTCCAGTTGAACCACTCAAGACCTGGTACTCGAAAGCTTTCCTTAAGAGTACCCTCTTGCAATACCCTTTGCAGACTCGTCCTGCCTTAAAAGCCCACAAAAGAACTCAGGGAAAGACTCCCTCCGGTGATGAGGTCCTCAGTAACGACTCAGATTTTTCTTAGCTAATAGTACTGTGCGTGCAGTGGTAAGAAAAATAAGGAGAGAGAGTGTGCGGTGCAGTGCGTGCGACGGTAAGAGAAAGAAGAAGAGAGAGTGCACATGGCGGTAGGAGAAAGAAGAAGAGAGAGTGTGCGCGACAGAGTGCGCCCAACGTTAAGAGAAAGAAGAAGAGAGAGTGCGGGCGGCAGATTGTGCGTGGCGATAAGAGAAAGAAGAAGAGAGCGTGTTCACGACAATGAGAAGAAGCAGAAAAGAGTGTCGTCGTGCGTGATGTCGTCAAGCCTGTGCACAGCCCATGGTTGCCACCTGCTTGATGCATGCTTCGACCCTGCCACTTGTCAATTTGCATGATATTAAGACTGTCACTTGGCAAACCCAGGATGCCACCTACCCACATGAGAGTACAAACTTCTCTCCTCTTTTGCCTCACGTTTGGATTCACTCTTCCCTCTTGAGAGTTAAACTCTAACCCCCTTTCTCTAACCTTGTGGGAGAACATTGGAGTGAAGATGTAGTCATTGTGTGAGGGGTTGTGAGAGCACCAGTTCACACACAAGGTAAGTGGGTCACTACCTTGTAAGTTGAGCATGAGCATATGCATAAACAATGGCTGCATGTGTACCATGTTAAGCCATGTTTTCCATAAATTTAGCCTACCATTGCATGTCAAAATGAGCATTGAAATCCTTCTTAATTACCATGAGAATTTGTGGAAGGAGTTTCTTATACATCTAATGTATAATGTAAAAAAAATTTATAATGAAATCTAGCATGATTTGGGGGCCTATTGTCTGACCTTTGGGTCATGTTGTGACCACACTGTGAAATTCCAAGGAGGTTTCATGTTTTTCAACATACTTTTGACTAAGAAAATGATGCGCAAATGACACCAAATCACCCCCATTTGAAGGATACATGTGTCTACTATGATTTTTGTGTTTAAACTTGGTTCAAATTCTTTATAAATGGGGAGCTATGCTTCAATTTGTGAAAGCATGTCACTGTTAGCAGATTTCACTGAAATTCATAACTGTTGCCTCTGTTGTCATGAGCGTTTGACTAACCAAATGGAGTCCAAACACTTTCAAACCACTATCATTTGAAATATATGTGTTTTTAATCAAACTTTCATGTTATGATCATCTCGAAATATCCTTTAGATTAAATGTTATGCCTATGTTAAGAGGGACATGTTACTGTTAAAGAGATGCAGCAGATTTCAAAAGTTCATTTCTATTGCCATAAGCTTTTGACTGACCAAATGGAGTCCAAACGCTTTCAAACCGCCTTGTTGGAAAATATGTTTTTCTAATAAAACTTTGATTTTGAAACATTTCCCATAATTTAGGGGTTATACTCCTGCATGTCATTGTCCTAAATTGCTGCAATTTCTAGAAACTGTTGCTTTAGTTGTGTTGAGATTTTAACTGACCAAATGAGATCCAATTTCTTTCAAACCACTTCCATTTGAAAGATATGTGTGTCCACTTTTAAATTTGTTTTAAAACCATCTCAAAATTCTATATAAATAGGAAGCTAGACCTCTGTTTATGGGACATGCCACTGTTAGGAATGACAGAAATTTTAGAACTGTGATCTACTTTGTACTGAACGCTTAACCGATCAAATGATGCTCAAATAGCTTTGAATTTTCTTTGATTGAAAGATATACATCTCTAATTTAAGTGATGACTAAAATTGTGTTGAAGTTCCTCATGAATTGGATGCTAAGCGTAATTTCGTATATGCATATTATTGATAGAAATGGCAGAAATTCCCAAACTGTTATATGAATCATGTAAACATTATACACTAATGTTCAGAATATAGCTTAATCCCTTCATAAGGAGATTGAAATTATCTGTCATGAGATATTAAAAAATGCATGCTTATGATACTATGAATGTTCGTAAACTCTTGAAATGGCAAAGCATGAGCAAATGAATGCTTGAGCATGCACGTACGCAGTGTAACTAAATGTGATATATTGTGATACTGACCACTATGCAATGGGTCACCCATTGGTAGTGGTATACTATTATAATGTGACTGTGATATACTGTGATACTGACCATTATGCAATTCGTCACCTATTAGTAGTGGGATACTGTTATACTCTGACTGTGATATATTGTGATACTGACCACTACACAATGGGTCACCCATTGGTAGTGGGATACTGTTATACTGTGACGATGATATTGACCACTATGCAATGGTTCATCCATTGGTAGTAGGATACTGTGATGCCAGCAATCATTGACTGTGCCCCAACTCTAATGATAGGAATGGGGTCCGGAGGTGAAACTGAATAATAGGGAGGGTCGCACCCCCCGAATTTAAATGAGCACTATGTATTGGGTCACCTAATGGTAGTGTAATGCCCTCTCGCTTGAAGGCATAAGGAGAGGAACGTGTCTTGCAAGACCACTGCCTATCAAAAACCCTAAGCGCGCTGGGGATTGTGTGCGTGAGTGGGGACATTACAAAATAGGACACCCATTTGTCATTGTTCTCCCTCCTGAACGAGGGTAGAAGTTTCAAGTTACAGGATTGGCTTGGCCTAATCGATGTGACTTCTACTTTGGGAGTATACAACTCTAGACTTTACCTGTGTGCTTTATGTGTTATTTCTGGGTACTAACCTATTACTATGAGAAGAGATGAAATAACTGTTAGATCATACAATATGTACTTTCCTGATATCTGAATCATACTCCATTTTACACTGCTAATGAATTGTGAT